ACAAGTGTGTTGCTATCTTCTATCTTCTTCATGGCAGACTCAGTGGTCAGGGGAAATTTGATGATGGCATAGTGGTCAAGCTTGTTTCTCCTGGGGTCACTCTTCCAGGGGTATTTGGGTTGCCTTCCAAGTCTCAGCGTCTTAGGCTGCCAGAAGGTGCATGATATGCGGATCTTTTTTTGTGGCTGTGGATGCCCTTCAGGACTGACTTCAGTTTTGGGAGGGGTAGGGGCTTCCCTCTTTTCTTTCAATGTCATCTTTGTAGAAAAAGCAATATACTTGTATTTTGCTGATGATATTCTTTTCCAGATACATTGAAATCTGAGGAAATCCTAGGGACAGAGGGCCATATCTCAGAGCAGGAAGGGGCTAGGTAAGCCTAGCCTGTGCCATCCCTAGAGCCAGTCTCATCCATTACAGACTTGTTGTCTGCTCCAAAATGTTCACCTGTCATTTATTGAGTATACAAAGGCATTTGATTGTGTGGATCATAAAAAAATTATGGCTAATATTGAAAATGGAAATTCCAGAACACTTAATTGTGTTCATGTGAAACTGATACATATAATAAAAAGCAGTGTCCCAACAGAACAAATAAATGCAACATGGTTTACAATAAGGAAAGGTGTGTGTCAGGATATTTTTTTCTCCATATCTATTCAATATATGTGTAGAGAAAATAATTCTAGAAGCTGGACTATCATGAACAAGAATGTAGCATCAACATTGGAGGAAAACTCATCAACAATCTGTACCATGTGGATGACTCAACCTTGGTAGCAGAAAGTGAAGAGGACCTGAAGCACTTGCTGCAGATCAATGACTAAAGACTTCAGTATGGATAATATTTTACCATCAGGAAAATGGGAATCCTCACCTCTGGACCAATAGGCAGCATTATGATAGTTGGAGGAAAGATTAAAGTTGTCAATGTTTTGGTTTTTTTTCCAGTCTAAAATCAATACCCATGATAGAAGCAGTCAAGAAATTAAAACAAAACAAAAAAAACCCAAACAAAACCAACCACAAAAAACCAAACCCAAAAGGCATGTTGCATTGGGAAAATCTGCTGTCAAGGACCTCTCCAAAATTCTAAAAAGCAGGGATGTCAGTTTAAAGACTTTCTGTTGCTTCCTATGCCACTGAAAACTGACAAAGAATAAATAAAGAAGACTGAAGAATCATCGATGTATTTGAACTATGATGTTGGAGAAGAGTATGGACTGTACACCATGGACTGCCAAAAAACCCCCAAATCTATCTTGGATAAGCGACCAGGGTGCTCCTTAGAGGCAAGGATGGTGAAACTTGGTCTCACATATTTTGGGTATGTTGTCAGGAGAGGCTAGTCATTATAGAAAAAGACATCATGTTGGGAAAGATAGTTGCTCAGCAAAAGAGGAGAAGCTAGAGCATGTTGGAGATTTTGAGGATGGTTCTGATCTCTTGTTCATAGAGTCGCTATTCGTCAGCCAACTGGACACTTTCTCTCCTGAGCAATGGTCAGCTGCTCTGTGTACCCTTGGTTTCTAGTCAGAAAAATGAGAATACATGAATAATATGAGTGATTTTCAAAACTCTTTCATTTTTTAGCCATAGAATCTTTTTTTCCACCCCAGTACAGTTTGCCCAGTGAAAACCAAAACTTGGCCTGGAGTTGAGGTGAGGATCCTGGATGGATCATATTCTTACTGCTGTCCCAATTCATCACTGTCTGAAGAGCAGAAAATAGGACTTAAGGACATAGGGCTGTGACCATCTCTCTAAAAGAGCCAGAGGGAGTGAGAATAGCACAGCCCCTCACTGCAACAGAACAGAAATCAGGTAAGAGCCCAGCTACATGGTACCTGTAGAACTACACCAGCAGCAAGAGGTTAATTTATTCATTGTTGACTCACAGAGTTTACTCACAGTTGTGGTACCAAGAGTGGATTTTATTAGAGATACAGGTTGGGGAATGGGAGAGGCAAAGAATAGCTCACAGTACAAGTCCAGGTTTAGTCCAGCAGTCGCAAGCCAGATTATCAGTAAAACACAGTTACTTAATTAGTCCAGGCTCTGGTTTCAGTTCAGCAAGCAGCTTTTTCCTCCATCATCAAAGGCAAGGACTGAAGGGAGTATATGGCAGTTGCCTCACCACCCTCAAGCTTGACCACTTCCTGAGAAACTTAATAACATCTGAGCTGGTTACATCAAGGACCAGACCAAACAATGGATCCTGATAAGAATCTGAGCCTGAGAAAACAAACAAACAAACAAACAAACAAAGCTAAGACCTAACTAAATTAACAGGCCAAATTCCAAGAAGTACCATCTTGGTCCTCCCCAGGACGCCTATAAAAAGGAAACCCCCCCAAACTGCCTGCGCACTGTTTGGATCCTGTCTGCATGCCATGTGGGCTGGGTCACTTGGCCTCCCTCTCAGACTGTGCAGTAAAGGCCTGTTCGTTTCTTTGGACCAAGTCCTTTCTTTCTCTCCCTCGTGCCCTCGCTCTCTTTTTTATATCTAACAAGGACAGCAAAACCTTTAACTGTGGCCTTTATCTCAGGGCTTCTCTGGTTATACCTTGCCACAGTTTCTCCATAGCAATGCCAACCGTCATTCTATCATCACCACCATCGCCACGGTCTTCCTCAAGTCTTGCTGCCCAGTGTGGGACGTATTCCCTCTTATCCTAGTCCCACAGCTGTTGATACTTTGCAAGACCATGTGTCTGCAGTTAAGGTAGCTGGAGACCAGAGGGGACTAATGTAATGGCTAAAAAAGCCAACTTTAAGTTTATACCTCAATCCACCATGCCCAGATGACCTTGAAAGTGTCAGGCCCAGACCAAAGTCAAGGGGGAGAAAGAAGGATTCAAATACCACATGTCAATAAAGGGAGTGAATGGCCTCGCCCACCTGGCTAAACCACAATGGAATGCCCCTCTCTTCCCTCCCTGAAGACCCTTACTATAAAAACTTGCTGCAACCCACCTTAGGGCATCGGTTCTTCCAACCACCCTGGATCCTCTTTAAGCTTTCTCTCTTTTTCTCTGGTCACTTCCTTGAGTCCTTGGCCTTAAATCTGGTACGAAGACTTAACAAGTCTGTGGAAGATGGGTTGGGAAAACCTAGAACTTGATGAAGACATTGATATTTTTATGCTGAGATTAGGGAGATATGATGGCAGGTTCTAAGCAGGTTACTTAATTTAATTGGTATTAAATCTATAGTGGGTAAGGGTAAGGGAACTTAGAAAGAGGTCAGGGGCTGGTTCTCTCAGTGGCTGTTGGCAAGGAGAGAGGCTAGTCACTGGGCCCATCCAGTTGATCTGCAGAGGTGTGGTCTGTGACTGGCTGCAAAAGATGCTTCAAAAGGGAATTTCAAGATAAAATAAAATATGCAGTGGTGGAAGATGACAAATTCTGCCTGGAACAAATGAAGCCCATCATTCTTGCAGGACCTTTGAGAAGTAAGCTGAGGACATTGATGTAGAACAGTGACAGGAGGTGAGAGTGGAAGTAAGAAGCAGGAAGTGTCTGGAGAGCAGAGGGAAGTGACCAAAGTGAGAGTGGATTGAGTGGGTGCAGGCTTAGTGGAAGCAGAAACCCCTGTTGATGTGGACTTACAAAGGAGAAAGGGATGGGTGGGGTAGGTATTTTCCTTCTCTATAAATATTAACCCCTCAACCTTTCTTACCTAGCTGGTGAGGGAGGGATTGGGGAGGGGAGTGACAAGCTGAACCAGAGAAGTCCCAAGGAGGCTGCAGTCTGGTCTGTGTCCTTATACAGACAGAGCAGCCTTCCCTGCTCTACTACAGGTCTAACTTGTCAGAACTGCTCTCTTCACAGGTGCTATTGTGTGGTGGGCATGCGGGTGCTCTCTGATCTTTGAGGGACAGGGAGTGGTGGTGTAGTGTCAGAAGGGAGTGAAAAGATCCCCTATAGAAGAAATTAGTGGTCCGACGACATTCTACTTCAGGGTACCTCCATCTTGCTGTGACCTTGAACAAGTATCATTATTTCTATTTATAAAATGAGGAACAGTTGGCATAAGTTTGGAAAGATTTCTCAGGCTCCACCCGATTCTGAAATTTAGTCATTTCCCCAGGACCATGCACTTACTAAGGGGCAGAGTAGGGAACTGGTGAGAACCCAGGTTCTGTGAGGATAGCTGAGAGTAGGCCTAGCACACGCCTTCCCTGGGGGAGGCACTTCTGATGGAGACTTTGCATGGGGAATTGGAGGGCAAGGAGTAAGCAGGGCCCTAATGTCTAGGGAGCAATCTTTTGGCGTGAAACTGCCGGATATGACAGCTGAGTCTAGGGCATAAACTGCAAGTAGGGCTGAGGTGGGGCACAGGCTCACGGGGTGGGGGGATGGTTGGCTTAGTGTTGGTCCAGACCTAGTCTTCCTGCAGTCAAGGGTGAAGCCCCCAGGCCCTTGGGAGGGAGCAAAGGCGGAGCCTGCCGGAAGGAGGCGAGGGGCTGGGCGCGGCCAGGGCTCCCGAGAGCAGCCGGAGGGCTAGGAGTTCCTCCTCGGGGAAGCTCCAGGGCCACAGCTCTCCGGCACTCTCTTCTCGGGCTTTGGCCCTCCAGCTGGTTATTTCGGACCTGGAGGCTCCCCGACCCGGTTCTGAAACGGGTGGGGGGTGCCTGGCAAGTCGGGGAGCTGCTATTTTTAGCGGGCGCGAGGGGACTATTTATAGATCAAACACTCCGCGCTCCCTGCGTCAATGGAACCCCTCGTGCGTCACGCGCGCAGACATTCCAGGCCCCCCTCTTCGCCCCGCCCCCTCGGGCTCCCCGGCCCTGCACCTCCCTCCGTCCGCCTCCCACCGGAACCGCGCCGCCCCCCTCGCCCTTGTATGGCCAAAGCTCGCCGGGCCGCGTGCGTCAGTGGCGCCCCCGTCCCTCCCCCGTGCGTCACGGAGTGCTTAAGAGGAGGGTCCGGCTCGGCCGGGGAGCCCCGCTGGTGGCGGCTCCGAAAGTTGCGAGAGTGTGCAGAGACTGCGGGACCAAGCTGTGACTGGGGCGCTGGTTCCAAGCTGGGGGAGCAGGAACTGGCCGGGTAGGTGCATTGGAATAGATATGTGTGCTAGCTATTAGGAGTGTTGCATGAAAGAACTAAGAGTGTACTCGCGGGCAGACAGGATGTTGAAGGGTCGAACGTAGGAGGGTGAGGTGACCCCTCTGGACTTGTGATGCGGAACAGTTATAGTGGAATGGGACCCAGATTGCACTGGAGTCCGCCTGGCGCCACCGAGGGCGCAGTGTGCAAGGTGGAAACTACAGGAGTTTGGCGCCCAGAATTGAGAGTTGCCCAGCAGGCGTCTGTACTTGATTCGGTCTCCCAAAGGCAACACAGTGTTCAAGACTCAGGTGTTTCTAGTGGTCGCCAAAGAAGAGGGAGAAAGACTCTGAACTACAGCATTTCTGGACTCCGTGGTTCCATAACGGCTTGCATTTCCAAAGGAGTCCTCTTTTAATTTGGGAAACCCCTCTACTAGTTGCTTCTTATTAACACTCTAGGGGGCTAAGGCTTAGTTTGAACGAATCCCCAACCCTGAATTTTCTTTCTGACCGGATTATATCAGGAGATCTCTGGATCACCAAAAGGAATGGCCAGGAGTGGTGGCTGAACTGTGGAGGGGTGCTTCCTGTGTTTTGGGCTGAGTCTTCCCAGGAGCCAGGGGCAGAGCCTCTGGTAGCGCCGAGAGTTGTTTTATCTGTGGTGGATCCTGGATGAAGGTGTGTAGAGGTGTGGAAACCCTTGGCCTTGGGGAGAAATCCTGGAGGGAGTTGTTATTGTAGAATCTTCTGGTTTGGGGTTACCTGGAGGACCTGCAAATCTCCAGCCCTACAGACTAATCACCTCTGCGTCCCCCTGCCCCCAAGAGTCTCTGTTGGATCTCACAGGTAGGGTGCAGCCTCAGGCTAGTTCAGTTTAACAGGTGCAAACCACATTGTTGCCAGGACCTGCCTGAAGCCGGATTCTCTCCACTCCCTCCTTCAACTCCGCCTCTTCCTCCTCTCTATGGGTCTGCTCTCCCCTTCCCTCCCCCTCTGTGTTAGATGCAGGTCCAGTGTTAAGTACCTGGATAGTCTGGAAGGGGAGGGGCACGGGTGTGTGTGGAGAAGGCATAGGCTGGGGGTGGGGGTTGATCCGGATGTGGGATGTCCAAGTGGAGAAACAGGATTTGAATAAACCTGGAACGCCCAGCCCTGTGAGGCTGTCTTTCTCCTTCTCCACCTTCAGCCCATCCCTGTCCAGGCTGTGCTAGTGCTGAGAGCTAAGATGTGGCTTCCCATGGTTCCAGCAGGTACACCTGTCTGTGGATGAATGTCTCCAAGTGGGTGAGGCCAGAGCTCCTATAGACTCTGTTGTCTGGGTTTGTTGTTTGTCAGGCCAGAAATAGAGCTGTCTCATGCAGGGTCCTTGGAGGTGGGAGAAGGTCGGGGCCAGAGGATCTTTTGGTCAGGAGGGTGGTGACAGCCTTTGCTTCACTGTATCTTTGATTCCTCATATTCTGCTCCAGTGTGAATTCTTACCCCAGCTCCCCCCTGACTGTTGAGGGCAGGGTGATGGGAAGCCCAGGCAAAGAGGGCCGAGAGGTCAGCGAGAAGGTCCTGGAGCCGCCTCCACTTTTTTTTTTAACTTTATTCTGTTTATTTTATTTGGTTGTTGTGGTATACCGTTGAATCAGATCACACACACAGGCACAGGAGGAGATTGTCCCTCCTCCAGCGGAGCATCTGGTGGATTCGAACCATGTGCCTTCAGGATTGCAGGCCATTTTCTTACCACTAGGCCACCAGAGCTCCCTTCCTCCACATTATTTTGACCAGCCTCTGAATTTAAGGAGCCCTTTTTTGATGTTGTCTTCCTGCCTCCAGGCCCCTCACACTTGGAGGTGTGCAGTTCCCCTTTGCTAAAGCCCCTGGAGTCTTAAGGGCACTCTGCTGGGCACTGACTATTCTCTCTTTATAATGGTAAAAGTGAGAACTAAGTAAATGTCTTGCAATATTTTATAAGAGGTAATGATTCAAAAGAGCCGTCCTTGTTTCTGTCAGTAAGGATGAGTCTGTCCTTGTACTCAGAAACATACATTGGAAAGAATGTAAGGATTTTAAGAATGTTCAGAGCAGTGTCATTTAAATGTATTTATTTATTTGAACATTTTAGAAAAATAACAGAGCAGTGCTTGAGGGGTAGCAAAGCAAGTTCTCTTAGGGATTGTCCCTTCTCCTAGAAGCCCAGGGAGCCGTTTGTTCCTCCTTTGGTCTCTGTCCAGCATATGGCCTTTAAAAGTCTTGAGCCAGGTTCCCTATCTCCTGGGAACTGAGTAGGGAGGCCTGAGTTTCCCTTCCTTTTTGCTCTGGAACATTCCAGGCAGTGCAGGGTGGGTGCCCAGCCCTAGATGGCAGGACTGGGGTACGTGTGGGATCTATAGCCTTTTCTGAGACTGTAGGGTGGGGATGGGGGTGGAGTAGGCTTAAGGGCAGCTACATTGCTCCTTTGACAGCTTTTGTGGACAGGGAAGTTTCTGGGCCTTCACTTTTAGCCCCTCTAACCTCTGCAGGGTGCCTTTCTAGTCAGGCACCTTAGTAGGGAGAAAGGGGTTTTATAGACACTTGACTGGTGCCTGAGAATAGTCCCCGGAAGTGCCAGTGTGGGAAAGCAGGCTGTCTGCTCCTGGGGAGTACATGTAAGGCTTTGCCTGACTTAACTCCCACCTACCCTTCTCCCAGTCCCCCTCCCCCCCACCCCACCCAGCCAGTAGGGGGTGTGTGCAGGGGGCTGGAAGAATACAGCTTCCCCCTGTTCCAGCAGAGAAATGCTGGCCAGCTGCTTTCCCTAGGGTTCCCAGACCCATTAGGGTGTGGCTGGCCTTCTCACGGAGCCCACTCTTGCTGGGCCACTGCCTAGAGACTGAGTGGTGCGTAGGTCGAGATAGTTCTCCAGCCAGGAGTCAGGATTCTGACTTCTGTGGTTGGTGACCCTTCAGGCTTGATGTCTTATCTCTTGTCTAGGTTTCCTGCCACCTGGAGGCCTCTGGGACCTGTACTTTGCCAAAAGGCTTTATGTTCTTATACTAACTCCTTCTCTCCCCTTCCTTTCTTGTTTTCCCTCTCTAGAGATGCCCTGTATCCAAGCCCAATATGGGACGCCAGCACCCAGCCCTGGAACCCGTGACCACCTGGCAAATGACCCCCTGACTCCTGAGCTCAGCAAGGGCACCATGGACCTGGCCAGCCCTGAGGCAGCTCCTGCTGCCCCCACTGCTCTTCCCAGCTTCAGCACCTTTATAGACAGCTATGCAGGAGAGTTTGACACCTTCCTCTACCAGCTGCCAGGAACAGCCCAGCCGTGCTCCTCAGCCTCCTCCTCAGCCTCCTCCACGTCCTCGTCCTCGGCCACCTCCCCTGCCTCTACGTCCTTCAAGTTTGAGGACTTCCAGGTGTATGGCTGCTACCCAGGCACCCTGAGTGGCCCACTAGATGAGACCCTGTCCTCCAGTGGCTCTGACTACTACGGCAGTCCCTGCTCCATCCCGTCACCATCCACACCCAGCTTCCAGCCACCCCAGCTCTCTCCCTGGGATGGCCCTTTCAGCCATTTCTCACCCAATCAGACTTACGAAGGCCTTCGGGCATGGACAGAGCAGATGCCCAAGGCCTCTGGGCACCCCCACCCCCCAGCCTTCTTCTCCTTCAGTGCCCCCACTGGCCCTAGTCCCAGCCTTACCCAAAGCCCCCTGAAGCTGTTCCCCTCCCAGGCCACCCACCAGCTTGGGGAGAGTGAGAGCTACTCCATGCCAACAGCTTTCCCAGGTCTGGCGCCCACCTCCCCACACCTCGATGGCTCAGGGATGCTGGATGCGCCTGTGACCTCGGCCAAGGCCCTGAGCGGGGCTCCTGGTGGAAGCGAGGGCCGCTGTGCTGTGTGTGGGGACAGCGCTTCATGCCAGCATTACGGCGTCCGCACCTGTGAGGGCTGCAAGGGCTTCTTCAAGGTACTGAGCTTTTCTCGGTGGGGTTCTCTGTAGGAAGTGGCAGGCATCTCTCTTCCCAGTGGGCTGTGTGGCAGCTCTCTTGAGTTTTCCTCCCCAGTAGTTCTGCCCTGCAGCAGGGGGATGAGACTGCCAGAAAGATACCCCCCAGGGACCATAATGGTGGGGAAACTGAGGTCATGGTCCCCAAGGACCATAATGGCAGGGAAATGGGACCCAGGCAGAGGGTGTAGGCTGTGGGCTACCAGAGAAGGAGGATCTAGTGACCAGCTTCTGGTTTTCCATTGCCTACCCTCCCCCTTACCCCCAACTCAAGGTCCCTAGGGGCAGGGGGGCCCCACACACTCATGTTCCTGGCAGGAGATGAAAGGATCTGGGAAGAGGGCTTGGTTCTTGAGGGCTGGGGGTGGACTCGGGAACAGGCTGTGTATTTGTCCCTGTGCTTGGGTGCCTGCTTAGCTTCCCGTCCCCACCCCCAGCCCTTCCTCAGCCCTCCCGTCTGCCCTGGGACAGGGGCAGGTGGACATGGGCACAGTCAAGAGGACAGGTGTTGGGATGACAAGGGAGCCTCTGACCCTTACCTTTATGCCTAGGGTCCGACCCCTGATCCTGAAACCTCCCCCAGTGCCCCTAAGACTTTGCTCTTCCTCCCCCACCACCCTCCATCTCCTTCCCCTGCCACCCAAATGTTAGAAAAATAGCTGTGAACAGAGAGCGCTTTTGTCTGTGATGGCAGCAGGATCTGGACAGTCCCCTCCCCTGGAGTTGCCCCCCCCTCCCCACCCCTCCCTCTGACAGCCTGTTCCGTGTTGTCCCCCGCCTCCTCCCCCAGCGCACAGTACAGAAAAACGCCAAGTACATCTGCCTGGCCAACAAGGACTGCCCTGTGGACAAGAGGCGGCGAAACCGCTGCCAGTTCTGCCGCTTCCAGAAGTGCCTGGCTGTGGGCATGGTGAAGGAAGGTGGGTGGCTGCCGTGGACAAGGGGACAGACACGGCTGAGTGGACGGGCCTGAACAAGTCCCCCAGACATGGGCTACGAGGGAGACCCTACCTCATTTCCACTCCCACCTCCTGGCGGCCATCCTGTCTTGTGAGGAATGGGAGAGGGGCTCCTTGTACGTGGGTCTCAGGCTCCATGCCTCTCAGTGTTGGTGTTCACAACTTCAGCTAAAGGTTCTTGGGATTGCTTGCACCCTTCCTCACCCTTGTCCATTTGTCTGCAGTTGTCCGGACAGACAGCCTGAAGGGAAGGCGGGGGCGGCTGCCTTCAAAACCCAAGCAGCCCCCAGATGGCTCCCCTGCCAACCTGCTCACTTCCTTGGTTCGGGCGCACCTAGACTCAGGACCCAGCACCACCAAACTGGACTATTCCAAGGTGAGGCCTCGCCCTGCCCTACTCCTGTCTCCAACCCCCGTCCCGTGCCTGGCCCACTCAGTCAGTGCCTAAGTGCATAAGGGAAAGAGCACCTCCTTCAGCTTGGCCCAGTGGGAAAATAGACGCTTACCCTGGGCTGACCAGATGGAAAACTGAACCCCTCAGGGGGCCAATTAGAAAAGTAGGCTCCTTCCAGAAGAAGCCCTAGGATAATGTGTGAGAATTGGCCAGGTTGCAGTTCTCCCGCCCGCCCCTGCCCCAGCGTCTGAATGCATGGCAGAGCTGTCTCGGGCCTGGTGTGGGGCCTTCATCGGGTGCTGACCCACTGGGCTGCCCTCCTAGTTCCAGGAGCTGATGCTTCCCCGCTTTGGGAAGGAAGATGCCGGGGATGTGCAGCAGTTCTATGACCTCCTCTCGGCTTCCCTGGAGGTTATCCGCAAATGGGCTGAGAAGATCCCCGGCTTTGCTGAGCTGTCACCTGGGGACCAGGACCTGTTACTGGAGTCGGCCTTTCTGGAGCTCTTCATCCTCCGTCTGGCGTACCGGTGAGCCACCTGCCATCTGCCTGGATGCCTCCCCCTGCTGTCCTGCCCGAGTGAGCCTGATCACCCCTGTGTCTGCCCCCATCAGATCCAAGCCTGGAGAGGGGAAGCTCATCTTCTGCTCGGGCCTGGTGCTGCATCGGCTGCAGTGTGCCCGTGGCTTCGGTGACTGGATTGACAGCATCTTGGCCTTTTCGAGGTCCCTGCACAGCTTGGTCGTCGATGTCCCTGCCTTTGCTTGCCTGTCTGCTCTTGTCCTCATCACTGGTGAGTGGCTGGCACCAAACTGGGCCTTTGGGGACTCAGTGGGGTAGAGGTGGAACAGCCAATTGGTTCTCAGGAGCGTGCTGTTCTGGAGAGTGGAGAGTGCCTAAAAGCATGGTCGTGAATGGCTAGTGTCCATCACTTGCAGATGCTGCCCCCTGCTTATACCTGCCTGTGACATGTGGTTGACCAGAATCAGAGAAGGGCAGGCTCATCTGATGCCAAAACCCAATCATGTCTTTAAACTACCCAAGATCCTGGAGTTCCAGGGTGGTACAGTTAATGTACAAGGCTGCTGACTCAAACATGAGCAGTTCAAGGCTGTTCAGACATTCAGAGATACCTTGGAAGAAAGGACTGGCAAGCTACTTCCAAATAAATCAGCTTTTGAAAATCCTCTGCAACAACACAGTTCTCCTCCGACACACAAGGTCACCATGAGTCAGAGTCGACTCATTTGCAACCAGTGGTCATGGTGGTAGCACCCAAGACCAGGACTTTTGTGGTATCCTTATGGAACCTAGGAGTTTTGTTTGTTTTTAAAATGTTCCCTGAAGTAGAATGTGCATATAGAACAGTGCACAAATGATAGATTTTCCACAAGCTAAGCACACTTGCATAACTACCCCCCTAGTTCAAGAAGTAGAACATGGCTAGGACCCTCTGTGCTCTTTCACCTCATATCCCCTCCCTCACCCTCCTACCTCCCCACCCTTTGCCCAAGGACTAACTGCTGGCTAATTCTAACACCTTGGGTTAGCTGACCTGCTTCTGTACTTTGCATGATTTGTTGTTACAAATTTACATGTGAACTTCTGAGTCCACAGAGTCCTTCGATTCTTTGATGTCAGGTGTAGGGTTTTCACCTATCTTTTTTATTTTTTGAGGCACCAAAGTCTACCATCACTTTTCCCCCCTGAACTTGCACACAGAATTCTAGCATACAAAGCAAAGTTAGGGGCACTCTGAGCTGAAGAGGGTCTGATGGAATCTAGAGCTGGTGCTCCTGGGCTGACCCTGAAACGCTGCTGCTCAAAGTCAGGGTCCCTCAGAGCAGCCTCGGGGGAGGGGAGCCCACTGGCCTCCCTTTATTTTTTTGTGACCTCAGACAAGTAATGCATGTAGTCTGTCTCATTCTCGGCTTCTCGTTTGAAATGTAACGATACTGGGTGTTTGGGTTTATTTTTAGGCCTCTGAGAGGCTCAAACATGGGCTTGTGTATTCAGAGTGCCAGAGTATTTGAGGAATGGTCAGTGGCAGGAGTTGGAGATACCTAGGAGATGCTGCGTCTTCAGTCAGGGTGTCTGGTCCTTGGCTGGGTGGCTAATCCCGCATGAACCCCATTCACAGACCGACACGGGCTGCAGGAGCCTCGGCGGGTGGAGGAGCTACAGAACCGTATCGCCAGCTGCCTGAAGGAACACGTCTCCTCAGTGGCAGGCGAGCCTCAGCCGGCCGGCTGCCTATCACGCCTGCTGGGCAAGCTGCCTGAGTTGCGGACCCTGTGCACCCAGGGCCTGCAGCGCATCTTCTACCTCAAGCTGGAGGACTTGGTGCCCCCTCCGCCCATCGTTGACAAGATCTTTATGGACACACTGCCCTTTTGACCCCAGTCCGGGAACACGAGTGCACACGTGTGTATGCGCTCACACACCACCCCACGTGCCTTTAGCCCATGGCCCAACAACCCCAGAACACTGCACCCCCCCTCAAAGCTGGACTTGAGCTGCAGACTGACCGACGTCCTCATTTGCTCTAGGAGGTTGGTGGGCACTCAGGCCTGGGGGCTGTTCATTCATGGGAGTGACCCCCACTATTTGTCTTATGCCTCAGCCTGCCCCTGGCCTTCATGTTTTTTGTAAGATAAACCGTTTTTAACACACACCGCCATGCTGTAAATAAGCCAGATGCTGCTGTAAATACTGGAAGGAAGAGGTGGGAGTGGGGTGAGAAGAAGGGATGGGGCTCCCCACCAGCCTGGGCTGATCTCTTCAGGCTTTCTTCTACTTGCTCTTTCCTCCAACCTACCTTCCACGTGTACATAAACTGTTACAAACTGTTACTCTAGGAGGAAGACAAATGACAGATCTGACATTTATATTTGTGTATTTTCCTGGATTTATAGTATGTGACTTTTCTGATTAATATATTTAATATATTGAATAAAAAATAGACATGTGGCTAAAACTGGAATTCTGTCTGTCTCCTGGTGCCCTCCACGTAGACATACACAATCACATAAATAAGAGAAAGTATCCTGGGTTTTACTGAACTGCCTCGGTTTACTCATTGGTAAGAAAGCACCAAACACTGACCTGGTGGGTAAGGGGTTGTACAGCCAACTGAGGGGCACACAGTTAGAATCCACTAGCTGCTCAGGGAGAAAGATGAGTAGTCTTGTGAGATTTACAGCCTCTGAAAACCCACTGGAAAGTCAGCTCTGAGTCCATTCTGACTCTAGCAAATTACAGTTCTAACTCATGATAAGTATCCTGTTAGAACTGTGTGCCTCCTAGAGTTTTTGAGGGCTGATAGTTTGGAAGAACATCACCAAGTCTTTCTGAGGCTCTTCTGGGTGGACCCAGCCACCAGCCAAATTATTTGCATCACCCAGTGATTCCCTTGTAAAAGGAGATGATGATGACATTTGCTTCATGAGGTGGTTATGTAAAGCATCTGATCAACCTGCTGGTTCATTATGGTGCCTGTGGTGGAGGAAGACTAAGCAATGGATGAGGAATGAATGTTGACTCTATATAAACAGACTTGGCTCCAGGGTTCAAGGTTGTCCCTAGTTCGTAACCTGGGCAAATTATTTCATGACTTTCATCCTCAGTTTTAGATCTGTGAAATAAGGGGATGGACTTGACCTCCCAAGAGCTATTAGGATCAGAGAGAGCTTGTGCTCCACTTAGGGCTAGTTTACTGTTAAGTCCTGTCAAGTCACCTGCAACTCAGCGACCCTATGCCCAATAGCTCTGAACCCTGCCCTATCCTGAGCCAATCTCATGTTTCCGACACATCAACACCCATCACCCCAGTCACTGTGTCAATCCATCTCATCCTGGATCTTCCTCTCCTGTGCTGTCACTCCACCCTTCTAAGCATGATGACCTCCAAGGACTGATTCCTCCAGACAGGTGCAAAGTATGTAAGACAGACCTTCAAACTCTGTACCTGTAAGAGGCACCTTGGTTTCACCTGTCCAGGACAGACCTGTTCTCTTGGCAGTCCACTGTATATTGAATACCCATCTCCAGCACCACAACTCAAAAGCATTGATTATTCTGTCATCCTTAGTCATACATAATCCAGCTTTCTGAGGCATTGCAAGTAATTGCAAAGACCATGGCTTGGGTCAGGCACATCTTAGTCTCTAGACTGATATCATTGCTCTTTAGCACTCTGGAGAGGTCTCTGACAGCATATTTTCCTAATGCAATTCCTCTTTTGATTTCCTAACTGCTGGTGCCAAGAGGGAATTGTGGAACTGAGCAAGTTGAAATTGTTTAAAACCTCAGTCTCTTCTCCATCTATCATGATACTGCCACTTGGCCCAGTGGTGAGAATATTTTCTTGATGTTAAGCTTCAGTTCATGTTGAAGATTGCAGTCCTTGACCTTCTGCAACAAATACTTCAGGTCCTCCTCAGTTTAGGCAAGAAAGGTGGTGTTGGGTACATAGTGCAGATTGTTGATGAGTCTTCATCTAATCCTGATGTCACATTCCTCTTCATGAAGTCCAGCTTTCTTAAATGATCTGCATATAGATTAAAAAGATATGGAGAGAAGACCCATCCCTGAAGCGCTCCTTTCTTGAATTTGAACCATGCAGTGTTTCCTTGCTCAGTTCTGAGAACTGCTTCCTCAGTTTCGCATGAGTGACAATCAAGTGTTCCGAGATTCCTGTACTCAAGGTTAGCCACATTTTGTTGTGATCCAGTCAAATGTCTTTGCAGAGTCAATGAAACAATAGACATTCCTCTGCTACTCTGCTTTCAGCCAAGATCCATCTGATGTTGGCAATGATGTCCCTGGTGCCATGGCCTCTTCTAAACCCACCTTGTATTTCTGGTACTTCTCTATCAATGTACTGTTCGAGTTGTTTTTGGATAATTTTCAGCAGGATTTTGCTTGCATGTGATATTAGTGATACTGTTTGATAATTTCCACATGTTGTTAGATTACCTTTTCTTGGAATAAGATATGTAAGTCAAAGCAATAGTTGCTGTTGTTGTTATGTGCCGTCGAGTCGCCTGCAGCTCATAGTGACCCTATGTACAACAGCCCTAAACCCTGCTCTATCCTGTGCCAATCGCACTGCCTCTGAAACACCCATCCCGATTACTCCAGTCACTGAATCAATCCACCTCATAGAGGGTCTTCCCCTCCTGCGCTGTCCCTCCACCCTCCCAAGCATGATGTCCTTCTCCAAGGATCTGTCCCTCCTTACAACATGTCCCAAGTATGTCAGATGAAGCCCCAGAATCCTTGCCTCCAAGGAGTAGCCTGGTTTAACCCTCTCTAGGATGAATCTGTTTGTTTTCTTGGCAGTCCATGGTACATTCAACACTCTTCTCCAGCACCACAGGTCAAAGGCATCAATTCTTCTATCCTCCCTAGTCATTGTCCAACTCTCTGATGCATAACAAATGATTGCAAAGACCATGGCCTGTATCAGGCGCACCTTAGTCTCCAGAGAGACACCATTGCTCTTGAGTACTTTAGAGAGGTCCCTAACAGCAGACTTCCCCATCTCCATTCTCATTATTGCTCCCAGACCCCTGCCGCTCTAGCCAGAGGACTTAAGGATCTGATAGTTCTTTCCTTACTGGTATGATTGTTCTAAGGTTGCCCAGATGCCCCCACATTACTCAGATTTACTCCGAGTAGAGCTCATGAATCTGTATCCAGGTGAGTCTGTTACAGGTTTCCTTCTGGGAAACATAAACATGTATCACATTCAACCCAGACCCAAGGTAGCTGCCACTGTGCAGGGCTTGGCCCTCTTCAATATACTCTGCTCATCCTCATTTCCTCCTCAGGGACCTGATGGGAGTCTTGAAAGCCATGGGCCCCATAACATCACTGTTCTAAAACAGGCCAGACATGGTGATTGGGGGAAACTAAGAAAAGAGGGGATAAATAATGAATCCTGCATTGGAACAGATGAAGGAAAGCACTGTTTAAAAAGAATATATAATTAGGCATTATACATATGACAACAGCCCAGAATAAGAGGTATATTACAAAGAGGACTGGGGTAATTGTGCAACAATGAATGAATGGATTTTTTTTTAAAAAAAATAAAAACAAGTGACCTAGGAAATGGGTAAAATGTTCAACAATGAGTGAATGAAAATCTAACTTTTCTGTAAACTTTTGCTAAAAATCACAATTTAAAAAAGCCCCATATGAGGTCCTCACAATCCTAGTATGTAGTTGGACGGGGCATCCCCTGCTGTGGGAATTGGATGAAATAGTACTCTTCAGAAGTAGACACTGTAGGCTGTTCAGTCTGTAGGTTCCAAAAGAGGCCTCCAGTGTTCTAAGAAGGTCTCATTTGGGTTCTCGGAAGAAAGTTCTGCCCTGGCCTTCTGATAGGTCCATGTGTGGTAGAGTCAAGGGACCTGAGCCTTGCACACTGAGACTGCTGTCCAGCAGGAGTGTGTCCTGGCACCCCAGCAGAGCCCCTGAATAGACCTCTGGCAGCAGTATCAGCACTTGGCATGCTGCTGTGGAAGGAACCTTGAATGTGGATTCCGAAGCTCTGGTTCGGTTTTCAGTCCAGCCTCCAATTTCATGCTGCTCTCAGAGAAATCTTTCTTCCTTGCTGATTCTCAGTTTCCAGTCTGTTCAGTGAGGAAGTCAGTCAGGCTGTTGTGCCCTTGTTAGGAGTGGAGCTTGCTGGGAGAGCTCTCACCAGCTGTGACCAGATGTTGTCAGAGACCCTGAGTACAACAGAACTACACGCTGCCTGATCCTGTGCCACCTTCACAGTCACTGCTGTGCTTGTGTCCATTACAGAAGCCACTGTGTCAGGCCTTCTCATCGAGAGCCTTCGTCTTCTTGCCTGACCCTCCACTTTACCTAACATGATGGTTACTGAGTGCTAACTATAAACCAAGAATGACCCAGGAGGCATCAAAAGAAGATGGAAGAAATATGCGGAGTTGCTAAACCAAAAAGAACTGACAGAACTATTTCAAGAAGTAGTATATAATCAAGATCCAATAAAGGAAGAGGTTCAGCTGCTCTGAAAGTATTGGAAAAGCAATAAGACCCCAGGAATTGATGGAATACCAATTAACATATTTCAACATACTGATGAAGCCCTGGAAGTGCTCACCAGGTTATGCCAAGAAATCTGGAGAACAGCTACCTCGCCAACTGACTGGAAGAGATCTATATTTATTCCCATTCCCCAAAAAGGTGACCCAATAGAGTGTGGAAACTATTGAATAGTATCATTCATGTCACATGCAAGCTAAATTTTGTTGATGATTACCAAAAAAGGAAAAAAGCCAAACGTTTAGAACAGTACATTGATAGAGAACTGTCAGAAAGAAAAGTTGGGTTTAGAGTAGGCTGTGACACCATGGACACCATTGCTAATGTCAGATAGGTCTTGGCCGAAAGTAGAGTACCAAAATAATGATCATTTGTGTTGTATTGACTGTGTAAAGGCATTTGACTAGGTGGATCACAACAAATTGTAACTTAATATTGAGAAGAATGAGAATCCCAGAACACTTGATTGATGTGAAATCCATACCTAGACCAGCAAGCAATTGTCTCAACAGAGCAAGGAAGCATTACATGGTTCAAAATCAAGGAGTGCATCAGGGATGCATTCTTTCTCCATACCTTTTTAGTCTCTATGCTGAACAGATCATTCAGGAGGCTGGACCTTATGAGGAAGACAGTGGCATCAGGATGGGAGGAAGATTCATCAACACCCTGCGTTGTGCAGATCACACAACTTTGCTTGCCCAAACTGAGGAGGACCCAAGGCACTTGCAGAAGATCAAGAATTGCAGCCTCTAATATGGATTGCATCCCAACATGAAGAAAACAAAGATCCTCGCCACTGGGCCAGTAGGCAGCATCATGATAGATGAAGGATATTGAAGTTGTTAATGATTTCGTCTTGTTCAGATCCACATGAAGGTGTAAACTATTTCATCTTGG